TCCCAGCCTCTTCCTCCTCCTCCTCCTTCTCTCCCATTGGGCTCCTTCTTTCCCCTTTCCCTCCTCTGTAGGAGGAGCCTTTCTCCACCTCCTCAGCTTTATACTCGCCGTATAAGGCGACCCCCAGCTTTAACTCCAGCTTTTCCTGCTTAGAAAGTAGTCTTATACGAAGGAAAATACGGTACATCAAGGCATGCAGAGTTTTATCTCTGTTCTATCCGTATTGGTTGTTCACACAGCCAACATGCAATTTTTTGAGGAAAAATTGGGGAAAAATCTGAGATCAATTATCTTGGGTTATATGGGGGGGGGTTGGCAGCCACCTCCAAAAGTTACTCGGGTGCATTTGAAATGCATGTGAACAACAAAGACTCAACCCACATTCTACCAGGATTATTTTCACTGTTTGAATAACCCCTAGGTTGAAGTTGTTGACTTTGGCGAGAAGATGTTAATAGGAGCACAGTCACATGCTACACTGGTAGAGAGCAGAACACACAGCACAGAGAGATCATTACTAGCTCTGCCTGCAGGAAGCAATATGCAGATAGCTCAATGCTACTGTTCTTACCATCTGTGTATACTTTGCCATGTTTATCCAGTGCTGTGAGGTTGACAATTCTCATTTTGCCACTGTTACACCAGACCTGTTGGAATACAGATACCACAAACTGCCTAAAAGACAAATAAATGTGCTCACGAGCAAATCAAGATTGGATTCTCCCTAGAAACTGAGGCTATCATACTTTGAACATATCATGAGACAATGGATGTATCGATATTGTAGAAATAATGTAGTTTGACATCACTTTAAGTGCTGTAGCTCCATCCACTACAAATCCTGGAATTTGTAGTTTTACAAGGTCTTTAGCCGTCTCTGCCAAAGAGTGCTGGTGCCTCATAAAACACCAAATCCCAGGATTTTGTAGGAAGGAACTATGGCAGTTAAAGTGGTGTCAAACTGCATTATTTCTAATTAGAAAAGATTATAATGCTTAGTAGAGTGGAAAGCAGCAGCAAAAGAGGATGGCTACAATATTGACTGACTTCTGATCACCAGAGTGACTGCACAGGAAAACAGAGGCATTCCCTCTACAGACCTTTTTGAAATGGTAACAAAAAAGTGAAGCTGTTGCCATTTTGAAAGTGATTGCAGAAGAAAACAAAGGTATTACAGGGTTCTGTGTGGATGGGGTGGAGGTATTTTTATATGTTTTCATGTGTTTTGGGGGGCTTTCTGAACTACCTTAGAGCAAAAATTGTCTGAAAATCACTGCAATTTTTAATTTTATTTATTTATTTATTTATTTATTTATAGGGCTAAGGGCTTTGCAGAATTGGTGGGGGCTTCAGAGTCATAAAAATGGTCCAAAGGCCACACTTTGCCAACGTCTTCTTTATACTAAGGGAGGTAACTGTGTGGCCCTCCAGAGGTGGCTAAACTGTGATTCCCAGCACACTTAGCTAGCATAAATAACGGGTGAAAAATGCTGGGGATGGTGGTTCAACAATATTGGAAAGGCCACACAATATGCATTCATGCTCTAGACAAGGTGAATAGAATATACTATTTTACCTCCAGCACCTCCTTCTTCTGTCCCATTTCAAAGTGATGAGTGAGAATAGCCTTATGCCTTCCACTGGGTGACACTGACATCAGCAACCTGTGGTACAATAAACAGGAGGAGACAGTATAAGCAGCAGATCCAGGCCTAAGGCATCTTTACCAGAAAATATAGGCAAAAGCCTATTACTTTACACCTGCTCAGCAAAAATCCTCCAACCTAGCAAGGAGATATTGTTTATGAAGGGGAACACAAATTCGCCCCATATATAATTCTATGACCTCCCCTACCTCTGGGTGAGAAATTGCAACTTGCATGGATGGAAATGCCTTTTGCCTAGGACTTGGGTGAACTGGTGCCAGTTACACTAATTAAGAGTGGTGCAACATGCAATTATGTGTGCATGAAGGTAACATACAATGTCACCACAAACTATCCCTCTAATACGATCCATCTTTATGTGTCTCCTTTCCTGGGGGAAACATGATTCTTCTTCTTCTGGTTTCGATTCTATCGTGTGACAGGTTACACCACCCTCACCCCTGCCACTGTCAAAAAACCCCCCGAAAATAAGCTTGGCTTGAATTTCTCAAGTATAGTTAGATATGCTGGGGACAACTAGATGTTCTACATACTGGTTTTGGATCTCAGCTGGCAAACCAAGAGGAGTAACTGAGACAACGGCTTTGCCATCATAATGAAGGACATACTGGCGACTGAACTTCAGCTGCTGATAGCGCCCAAAGTCAGGTTGGCACCACTCTGAAGGAAAAGAGGAAAATAAAGTGGGAGAATTCATGCAGATTGAGCTTCTGAGTCAGGAAATTCCCACTCTAATGCATAATATAATGCTGCCTGTGCTCCACTGCCCTTTTTTGTATAGAACCATCTCCATTGGGCCTAGCCTAAGAAGAGGAGCCCTCCCTCCACTCCATCCGACGTCATCTGGGGGAGAGATGCAGGCCCATCTCCATCGGGCCTAGCCTAAGTGGGAGGGAAAATGTTGTTTTATGTTACATGCTAATGTTTATGTTGTAAACCGCCCAGATTGGACTACCAATGGGCGGTATAAAAATAAAATTTATTATTATTTATTATTAATGTGTAATGCTTTGAGCATTGGACTACAACTCCGGAGACCAGGGTTTGAATCACCACTCAGCCATGGAAACCCACTGGGTAACCTTGGGTAAGTCACACTCTCTCTGATCTAATCTGCACTCCAGAAATAATGCAGTTTGACACCACTTTAATTTCCATGTCTCAATGCTCTGGATTTCTGGGATTTGTAGAATATTGTGGTACCAGAGCTCTCTGATAGAGAAAACCAAATGTCTCACAAAACTACAAATCCCAGAATTCCATAGCACTGAGACAGGGCAGTTAAAGCAGTGTCAAACTGCATTATTTCTGCAGTGTAAATTAAACCCTCAGAGGTCTAAACAAATCTCTCTGAACAAATCTTGCTAGGAAAAGCCCATGATAGGTTCACCTAGGGTCGCCTTAAGTTGGAAAGGACTTGAAGCACACAACAACAACAGTGTGTAAGTGCTTCAGCCCTTAAAACTTTTACTATAGGGCCTGGTCTTAAAAAAAGAAGCAAAATCTTATCCCATAGGATCATGCCATAAGACTCTGTAATTATGCTTATTTTATTTTATTTACATCCCGCCTTAATTATATCTCACCTTTCTCACAATAGGCTAGAGAGAGATAAAATACAATTTAAGAAACCACGAAATACAATTAAAACAAATTGGGCGGGTCACAGATTCTCAGCCCCAGAAAATCGTGATAGGCTCACCACAAATTGGAAATGACTTATTGAGTCATGGAGGCATACGAAGGCACACAACAGCAAAGCATACAAAAGTTAGAAGACAAATAAGCAATCAAATTAGAAACACTAATTTAAAACACTTTTCAAATATTAACGCAATTTATATACGAATCTCTTTCCCATACATTTTTCTTGCTTTGCACATATGTGATACGTTTTTTGTTTATGAATTATGCATCTCGTTTTGGTGTGGAAGCAACTGCAAACTTGAGAGGTATGGGATGATGTTATATTTAGATGCTTTTGTCAGCTATTTGCAGGGCATATAATTATAAGCCATGTGAGACTTTCTACAAGACTGAGCCAACTTCTTTCTCACTCTACTAGGGGGGTTGCAGACTGCCAGAAATAGTGCAAATTGAGTCCACTTTAAGGGTTAGGGTTAGTGCTAGGGAGTCATGGGAATAGGTTTTTTTTTCTGGGACATTGAGCCTTCTCTGTCAGAGAGCTCTGGTGCCACAATAAAATACAGTTCCCACGATTCCCTAACCCTTAAAGTGGACTCAATTTGCACTATTTCTGGCAGTCTGCAACCCCTTAACACAAGGCCCCAGTGGAAGTAGGCTGTTAAAAAGAAATTATTTTCAAATATCCTAGGAATAGGCCACCAAGAATTTAAAAACAAACACACAATAGGGTGGACAAGAATATTTATCATTCCATTGAGCTCTGGACCCTTTTAACCTTCCAAGGAGACTCACATAGCGCAGTGGTTTGAGTGCTGGACCATGACTCTGGAGACCAGGGTTCGAATCCCGTCACACTATGGAACCCCACTGGGTGACTCTGGGCAAGTCACATTCTCTCAGCTTCAGAGGATTGAAGCAACTTGCCAAGAAAACCCCATGCTAGGTTCACCTTAAGATCGCCATAAATCAGAAACAACTTGAAGGCACACAACATACAACAGCCACCTTCCACTGGGAGTGTCATTTTCTCAATCCTTTAATCTGTTTCTTCTAGAAGGAAAGAACAGGACACCCAGAAGGTACAGGGGTTTGGGGGATGTTTTGCAAATGAGCCAAGAGACAGGAAAACACTGGCATCTACCTTGAGCAAAAATGTCAAAGGTCTAGGAAGGTTGTTGTTGTTGTGTGCCTTCAAGTTGTTTCCAATCAGAGGGACAGGATAACAAGAGGTATTATTATTATTATTATTATTATTGCCTAGGAAGGTTGCGT